AAAAAAAAAAACCCCAAGATGTCTCAGTTTTGATGTACTACTAATCAGTTATGTAGATATGAAAGGAAAGCTGTTATGAGAGAATTAAGGTGGCTGCAGCAGGTAGTCTGACCTGGAGTTTTGTCTTCATTGTATGCGTGTTCTGTCATTAAAAGTATTCATGGCTAATTTAGTAATAAAACAAGATCTTCAGGGATGCTTGAATCCTGTCGCCCGGAACATGCAGTTCTGGGCATGGGTTTTTGTTATATATATATATAATTATTATTTTATTTTTTTTAAATACCTTTACCCCTGGCCTTCCCTGAGCATGTTGCCTGCATGTGCGAGTCTCTGCAGCAAGGTGGGCACCTGGACAGGCTGGCCTGGTTCCTCTACTCTGCCATTCTCAATGCAGACTAAACTTTTCCTGCATTTTTCCCAGTCAGAGCCAAACATTTACTGATAGAGGATGGAAGGCAGCTTGGGGCATGGCAGGGAGCGGGCACAGGTTTCATTCAGATGATGACAGACGATGGACTCGTTTGCTGGTGCGCTCTGATCCTTGTGGGGGTCATGCTGGTGACTTCTGCAGGGGTAGGAGTGTTGGATTTAAGTCATTTGGTGAGATTTGTTCAGAGGTGTCACAAGGATGGGGGTGCAGCCCCACACCATATGACGCCACCAGGGGGGTGGCAGTCATTTTGGTGTGACCCCTCTGAAAAGTCAGGCACTCGGTCATTGACCAAGAGGAGGGGGACCTGGCAGCATACCTTATAGCACCCGATAACCATCCCCTCCTCTTTGCCGGTGTCCATCACCAAGATGGCCGCCGCCAGTGATGTCTTTACAGGTGTGCGTACACAGATATGTAGAGAGTTGTCATCAGTACTATACAAGTAGTTTTGTGAGTGGACAAAGTACTCAAGCTCCCTTCACTGTATGAGAGCCAGAATTCAACCTCAACAGTAATATCCAACATGAATGGAAACAATGATGCAGCAGCCATCTCGACCTAGGATAACCATTTAAAAAAAAATTATTATTATACCAACCAATAACATTTTCTGGAAGTTTGGCTTTTAGATTGTTTATTAGTCACCACACATCCGTATAGACACGTTTCCTAGAATTCCCAGTTCATATAAAATGGATAGAGTAGCAAAAACAAGATACATTATTAAACAGATCACTCCCAACTTCTTATCAAGCTTCCATCCATTGACATGAATTGCCACAAATATAAAGATGACGGAAAATAAAAGGGAAACGGTGGTATACAATATTCCAGAACTGTTCACTTCCACGGGCGCTGAACGGTCTACAAAGACGGTTTTAATGAACCAAGGCATTCCCAAACACAGCATGTCAAATACGTTGGAACCTACAATGTTTGACATAGCCATGTCTCCTTTACCTGAAAGCAAGCCAGACAAGTAATTTTTAAATAGACAAATTAGTACCACATTTAATACTATCAGTAATAAAATATATACAATTCTGTTATTGCAGTAGTATTTTTAAAGTGCATCTAAACTCAAGAACAAAATATATTGCAGAGCATCAGTCCTTCGATTGCATGTTTTTGTTCTGCGTGTCTCTCTCCCCCAATTATTTGCACCCTATGATCCTCAGTAACACACTTCCTGTTCTAATACTCACTGTACACAGAGGAGCAGCATTGTCACCCTAAAAGGTGCCCATACACTGCTCGATTCTCGTACGAGAATCGCGGGAAATCCCGCAATCGTCCGAGAATCGAGCAGTGTGACCGTTTCTACTGTACGGTCGCACGTCTTTTGTCTAAGGAGCACGCTAGAAAACCAGCCGAAAATCGTACGATTTTTGGCTGGTTTGAACGGTGCTCGGGAGACATGCCAAATGGGCCGCTGTGCGCATACTGCCCGTTCAGCATTGCGGTCATCGGAAGCCCGCCCCTCAGGGGGCAGGCTTGCGATGATCGAGAGTACGATCTGCCTGTCCAAGATGGGCAGATCGTACGTTTTTTTTAAAATCACTTTACAACCATCGCAAGACTGAGGTCTTGCGATGGTTGTACAGTGTATGGCCACCTTTAGAGAGGACCACAGAACACTTCTTCAGACGGGAGATAGTCGGGATCAATTGTAACCAATAACTTTGTGCTCTCTGGCAGGATTAACAAAGTATGTGACGCCCCCAAAATGAACTTGTTTGCTTCATTTAAAAATGATTTAGGTAAGCCTTACAAGATATCAATTTCCTAAATGAGATTTTATGTCAGATAGACTATTGTACCTAGACACTTTACTGTTTGTTTCCAGAAAATAGACACTTTTTGATGTTTTTACTGTTTTGGTTTCCAGAAATTCAAACCAGTGCATTTTAAAAACATTGCAATGTAACATGCTCCACTGGAATGTACTACTTTAATGGAGCATGCCGTTATGTATTAGCAGCCAGTATTCTTCATACCATGCAACTGATAAAACACCCCAAAGCATTTTGTATGTTTCAAAAGGGTAAGTACAAATACAGTTGGTGGCTATCAAAATAAATTAGAGATGATTTTACATTTCAAAGTAAAGCAAAACTGTTGGTCTGTTCAAAGTTTTAACACTACAGTTCCAAGAGTGGTGTCATATTACAGTAAAAGCCATGGACTGTGCTCCTGATGAAATACTAAGTTAATGTCAAATTACATTGGTAGGGGGTTATCTAATATAGTACAGTAATACCTTGGTTTACGAGCATAATTCGTTCCGGATGCATGCTTGTAATCCAAAGCGCTTGTATATCAAAGCGAATTTCCCCATAGGAAATAATGGAAATTCAGATGATTCGTTCCACAACCCAAAAATATTCATATAAAAATAATTACAATACTGTAATATAATAGTGTACAAAATATAAAGATAAATAAACCGATTACCAGTACGACTTTCACTATCACTAACAGAATCACTGCCATCTCTTGACTCAATGGAATCTTTCATTTCGTGAAACCTTAACAAGGAATCTATCCAATGTGACATTACATTGTCGTTAAACAGATTAATCGCTCACACTGCTACAGCTTTATTGGGGTGGTGCTTTTCTACAGAAGTTTGCTCCTTTTGCAAGACATTGCTTGTATATCAAGGCAAACATTTTCAGAAATGTTTGCTTGTCTTGCAAAACACTCTCAAACCAAGTTACTTGTAAACCAAGGTATTGCTGTATTTTGTACTCGCTGTAAAATCCTTAAGAGTCCATTGAAGGACACAGGAAGGCTCATTGTGTTGGGTTATGCTGGTTCCTAGAGGATAGTACACTGGCAAACAAAATAATTGTAGGCCAGCCCACAATAGCCCATCCTACTTCCAGAATGCCTGTTTTGTAGCAAACAGTACCAAGAGGCTGAACATAAAAACAATTCTCCAACGAAGGACACAGGAAGCCATACTGTTGGGACGTCCAAAAGTAGTCCAACTAAGGGGCGGTCAACGGTAATGAACCCTTGACAGGCCCAATGTGAATAAGAACTGGGGACTGTGTACAGCTTAAAGCTGTCTAAAGGCACTAACACCCAAAATTGGCATCAGATGAGGCTGAACCCCTTACCTGGTAAAAGGTGGAAAAGACTGGGTGATAATAGCATAGGAACCAAGCCTGATGCTAGTAGACCAAAAATACTCCTAAAATCATACCATGGAACTGTTCTACCTGATCCAAACATGGAATGGAACAGAACAATTTCCCAACAGGGAAGAGCTCGCAGCCAAAGCATGGGCAATACAAAGAAGGTATACATCTCCAAGGACCAGGATCAGAGAGATGAACTGAAAACAAAGTCCTGCTAAGGGAGGACCCAAGTTTTTCTGTTAGAGAAGGCTATCGGCTCGCTTAAATCCCATGAGCAAGGAGAAGTGAGATGCAGGACTGGAAGAACTGCCAGGCAGCCAGATAACTCCAAGGTCTGACCAGTGGTCCTTGTACCCTTTTAGAGAATCAAAGTTTTATCCCTATAGGTCAACATAGTAACTAGGGAATGCATGTTAAAGCTCCCTATACAAGGGATATTCAGGGTATAGCAGGTAGACCTCTTTACCGAATAACACAGAGGAATAAAGATCTGATAGAGCTAAGAACCAAGCTCAACTTCCTCCAAGTTGTAAAAGAGCAGCCGTAAGGAAGAACTTGCCTGAAAAAAACAAACTACCCTGAAGCAGTAAAGAGGCGCTTATGCCTCCCCAGATCCAACAAAGCATCAAGAGACGGTAGCCTTAGCAGGACAACAAAGAACATTTGCCTGGGTAAAACCAAAACAGAACTGCCCCATAATGGCCTTCATCGCAAGCCTGCAAACAGTCAAGGAAGTAGGGTGTAATCCCAAATGCACGAGTCCAATTTAGTCATTAGGGCACTCCTGGTTACTGCCAGAGGATACCCGCATCAGGAATCCAGCTTGTTCAACATGCATTTGGCTCAGGGCACTTTGCAGCCACAATGCTAGCTGAGACAAGTTCAACATGGCTTATTTCAGGGGTTATTGGATCATCATCCCTTAATATACGAACAATATTTGTCAACCCATTGAAAATCGAGTGTCTGATGGGAAAATTCTGACTGTGTTGCTCCAATGGGAAAATATTAGTGGACTTGTCCAGTATGACTTGGACAGGACTGACAGCCTTTAGTAATTTAAATAGATAGATGCAAGACACAAAATAATTGTTCCTTACCTTCTCTTGCCACAAGAACACTTGCAACAGTGTCAGGTATACTTGTTCCAGCAGCTAGTAATGTCAGGCCCATCACTGTGTCTGGAATACTAAAGGTTTCACCTACAGTTAATAGATAAAATACATGTAAGTGCCAGGTAATAATGAAAATCATGATTTAAAAAAAACACCATCTTGATAATATACCCCATCAGATGACCACAAAAAGCCTCTGCTGTTAGCCAGTACAAGCTGAAGGGTTTTGTTTTTTTTAACCAAGATCCAAAAATCTTTAGACATGCAGTACAGTAGGTTATGGAAATCCAAGGTGCTTTTCTGCTTTACAATATAGTGTCGCGTTAGGCAAAGTAACCCAGACTTAAGGTGCCCATACACCTATTGATTTTGAAAGACCATCCATGGACAATTTCTGAACGATAATCGATCAGTTGATGGGAACCCAACAAATTAATTTTTTTAACTGTACTCCTGGCCGAATTTCCTCGATCAGTCAGCCTGGAAAGCTTTTTTCGAATCGTAGGAAAAGAGAAAGAAAAAAAGAACAGCGATGGATAAGAGGCGTTTTCATATGGAAAAAAATAAAAATCGCAACAAGAACACTGCACATGCGCAAGCGAAAATCGGTTCTGTCGGTTGAAGAACTTCAGTGAGTTAGTATTGATAACGAACGATAATCGACATTGGTCTGTGCATGATGGGGTATTCGAGCAGGAAAGAAATCGATAGGTGTATGGCCAGCTTTAGTTGGACAAGTTTCAGTTGTAATGTGGTAGTCTTAGGCCTGGTTCACACCTGGGTGTTTTACAGGGCGTTCCTACGCGCTGTAAAACGCTCAACATGTGAAAACCAATGATTGCCTATGGCATGGTTCCCACTTCAGCGTTTTACAGCGCATAGGAACGCCCTACAAAACGCCCTACGCCCAAAGAAGTACAGGAGCTTCTTTGGGGCGTTTTCATTGGTATTCCCGAGTGTGGATCGGGGTTAACAAAGCGGTAACCCCGAGCCACACTCGGGAATACACCGTACAGGTCTTACCTTGTCCGCGATCCCCGATGTGTCCTCCAGCGGCTGCCAACTTCTGGGTTCCGTCCCTTGCGAGCAGTCGCGTTGCAGGGGGGCGGAGCCAGCGGGAAGTTTAAAAGTGAAACTTATACACACACATATATATTTTTTAAATGGAGAAAATAAAAAAGAAAAAAAATATCATACCCCCAGTGAAACGTGCGTTTCACTGAACAGAAAAACGCGGAAAAAAGCGAGCTGAAAAAATACGCTCAGGTCTGAACCCAGCCTTAGACATGCGGTTTTAGACAATAGACAAATTAAAAATCCAACTGCAACTCACACTTCAGCAGTGACAGTTTTTTTTCCTTTTGGTAAAAAGGTATAAACCATAAGGCCCCATTCACACTGAGCGATTTATCACGCGATTTTGCACCGATATCGCTCATATTTCCACACGATATCGCTCTATGTAGCTTCTCCAATCCATTTCAATGGAGCTGTTCACATCTCGCCACTCAATATCGCTTGTAGCTCGTCGCTGTAGCTTGTCGCTCCTACATGACCCTTTTTTCTGCGGATTTCAAGCGATTTTGCTCCTGATTGCATACAGCCCAATAGGAAAAAGTCGTGCAAAATCGCGCGATTTTCATGTCGCTCAGTGTGAATGGGGCCTAACAGCAGCAGCTGACCCCCGCCAGTGTTATATGGGTTCTCTTAACTGTAACTGCCACTTTTGCTGGCTAGCTTGACCTGGTACAGAAGTAGAAAATCAACTGATCTTCTGACAGGATCAATAGATACAAAAATAAGTTACGGGGGAATTAGAAATCCAAAAACTGCAGTGTTGATGCTAACGACAGGTTGCATCATATAAACAAAATTTACTATTTGGTGCATATTTCCTTTTTAAGGGTTAGTGCAGCATTTATCAACCTTTCCTCAGTCACAGCACCCTTTAAAAATATGTAAAATATTTTAGGCACCCCAGTCTAAAATGTAAAAATGGAAGAAATGATGTTTAGTCCCTACAAAATCCATACAAGACCCTTATCTGAGATTTGGGAATGGAGTGGATTTTAAGGGGAACCACATGCAAAAACACAAAAAGTAGGTTTCCCCCTTCACAATAGGCACTGCAGCTTTGGGAGTGTGGCAGACAGACTAGGCCCAGAACAAGGCGCAATTCCATAGTTTTCTGAACGGATCCCACCCTTCCTGGATTAGCATCATTGCTTTCCATGGTGCTGTTGGGCAGCCCATCTACAACATGGAGAGGCATGATGATTTAAAAATGTGTAGGCACCCCTCAGGTAGTCAGAAGGCACTCCAGGCTGCCATGGCACAATGGTTTAGAAAGGCTGGGTTAGTGTACTCAAGTGTGTTTTACTTTTGAAATGCATTTGTGAAGCAATTTGGAAGGGTCAGGAACTCCATGCTTGAACCCTGAAAGGTGACCGGCATGCTGTATTTTACTTGTTTCTGAGTCTGATGCTTGTGCACATGAATCCTAAATTAAAAATCTTCTATTCATTCATTTTTTTCAGAGATAAAATGCCAAGATGGACTGGTTTCACAAGGCTATAGTCTTGAGGTTTCCATGTGAATATCTGCTCTGGTAGGAATATAAAAAAGTTATTATAGTCTGAGACCTTCTGGTCATAGTGCATTCCATGTCATGTGACACTATCTTCCTTTAATCATGCCCGCTTTAAAACAAAGGCATGTGACAGTAAGCCCTAAGCTTCTCAACAGAGAGGATCTATAAGAATTCCAACTATGCACCTCTTTGTGAAGTTTGTCCACAAATTCAAAAGAAATCAAAATGTGAAAAAACACAATTTGATAATGTTATAGCCAAGGAAAGAATGAGATATTGCTGAAGACTCAAAAGTGTGCCCATTTGTTGTGTGTTACAAACTGTGCTGGGCTGCTCTACATGGTTGAAAAATGTGCATTCACATTGTACTGTAATTAGGTTACAGAGAAATGTATTTCTGTGAGTATATAAAAGCGTGTGTGTGTGTGTCTCGGGTACATACAAATATGCCACGCACTTAGGCAAAATGTTTAATGTACGATATTTAATTAAAAAAAAGCATGCATCATGAAGAGTCGGCAGCAAATAATCGAATGTGACATTCACCAAACGTGTGTGTGTAAAATACATGGTTTGAATATGCCATATGTGCTTTACTGGAATAATCATCTGATGTGTCTGCTGTGATCATAGTCTTAAATAAAGATTGCATCTTCTATGACAGTGAAGAAAGTATCGTGCTGTTTCTGTACCTAGAAACCAGTGGGAAGCAGATGTTGTTTTCTATTTAATGCCTTTGCTATATGCTTTCAGAATTTCTTTGGAGAGGCGTGTTGATGGGGTGAAGGAAAAAAAAAAAAAAAAGACAGACTGAGTATTCCGGTCATAGCAAGTTTCTCAGCTGATCTTTGAGGATTGAAATGGGGGATGTGGGCACCGTTTTTGTGATGGTTTTGGGGAATGTCAGCACAATGTATAAATCATACTCTGCTCCCTTCTCCTCCTCAGATCCATAATACCCTGTGCTAGGATAATCCGCTCTTCAATAGCCGCAGTAGTGCACTAAGTAGGCCGTGTGCCATATTTACGATACAAGTGAGACTGGTGAACTGACCACAACAATTGTAAGTACTCTTGGGCAAGCAAGTTTCAAGTTGCAGAGCCAAAGATCAGGGCCACTGAGACAAGTATACATTTACTGAAACGCATACATCTTTCCAGAGATCCAGATGACATTTCCTTAACATGTCATCCCACTCAAAAGTAATATTTCAGCTACAGAAAATGGGGTAAGTCACTCCCTGACCTATTATTCCTTGGGGACTTTAGTGGTGACATATCTCAATGGTGTTCTAACCAGTAAGAAAAAGGTAAGCTTAGCTTTGAGTGTAGTACTTAGAACTAAATAATGGGAAACCTGACTAATGTTTTTTTTTCCATATGGCCTTTTCTTTCAATATATAAAATGCTGAAAACCTGGAGAGTAAGCAGGCAGTGCTTGCTTACTCTGCGCACACTGCCTGTTCGGCATTGCGGTAATCGGAAGCCTGCCCCTCAGGGGGGCGCGGCTTGCGATCATCGCAAGTACGATCTGCCTGTCCAAGATAGGCAGATCGAACGTTTTTTTAATTACCTTACAACCATCGCAAGACAAAAGTATTGCGATGGTTGTAAGGTGTGTGCCCAGCCTAAGTCCCTGCATGGGCAGTGCACTGGCAGTCTTAGAGAAGTTAACCGGTAATGAAGAGGATTTTTTTTTAGTGGTCTGAGCTTACTATGTGTTAGCCTAATGGCTAAGATACATTTGGCTGACAGACAATTTAAATCTACTGGAAGGATGTGGAAGACAATTGTTTACAAAAGGAAAACAAGCCAGCTACAGAAAAAAGCTGGATATGGAGGAGCATGTGGTTCACTTCCCTTCCTTTCATTAGACAGCACTAGTGCTTGGTGATTAGCCCAAGCATTGTCACATGGGGCAGTAAAAGGGTCTTCAGTCATTCATAAGCTTCAACTGGAGTGCCTAAAAAGTAAAAAAAAAAAGTGCTACGGTAGCAAATCAAAAGCAAGTATGTGCTGCTTGGTAAGGGGGCATAAAAGCAGATATCCAGCCAGCAATGAATGGATTTTCCCCTTCCTTTCAATTCCTCCCAACCTCTGGTGAATGAGCATGCTTTGCTTTCCCCCCCCCCTTTAAATATATTAAATGTGGAAGTAAGGTAAGTGGCCCCAGCATCGTGACCACCTCTTTAGTGCTGATAGGGAGGAGTACACTTAAAACACAGGTTAGTGAGACAGGCAATTGAAAGTGTGTTGGATTTTGGAATGCCACACTGTAAAGACGAAGACGTGGAAGACGATACAGGACCCCACACTCTACTTTTTATTTTTTTTAATTAGCTTTAGTAGAGTTTTGCTTTAAAGCAACACTTTTACTTTTGCCCTGCATGTAAATTCTCAGGTCATTTTTAAAAGAAAAAACTTTCCCCTAAAATTCCTCTAACATGAAAATGCAATTAGTAAGTTTGTCTGTGCAAATAATGTGTCAGGTAAAGTGAGCATAAGATCATTGTTTTGAATAACATGGACTATTTAGTGAAGATGCAAATGGACTTTCAAGCAATTAAAAGAAACATTTTCAGCTGTATCTCTATAAAGGTGGCCATACACTTTACAACCATAGCAAGACCTTAGTCTTGAGATGGTTGTAAAGTAATTAAAAAAACGTACGATCTGCCCATCTTGTACAGGCAGATCGTATTTGCGATCATCGTGCGATAATCGCACAGTGTATGGGCACCTTTAGAGTTTTGTAGGTAGGTGAGTTATTCGTCATGGAAATCATTAGCAGGTGGCGTTTCTAAAAATTTTTTTTTTCTGTTCCTTTAGAAAAACTAAGGTTCTTTTTTTATTTTTTGGGCTGTGCAGGCCCAATGCATTGTTTCCAATAGGCCCTGTTTACACCGTAGTGTATACAGCAGTGAAGTGCAGTACCTCTTGCTCAGGGTAAGGCATTCACCAGGCCAAAGCTCCGCCCCGTTGGATGAAGCCCCACCCCCAACAGGTCCCCAAGCTGGAGGAAGGGAGGAGCCTCCCTGTCCCTCACTTGCTCCTCACCACTGAGGCTCCCTGACAGGTTACACAGCGGGGAGGATTACCCTGCTGTGTAACCTGCTAGAAGCCGATCTGAATGGAGAAAAAGCTGTTAGCTTCAGACATGAAGCGGACAGCTTTTTTCTCCATAATTCTAGGTAAGGCTCTGCCTCACCTGACCGCACATCCCTGGTATACAGTATGCACTTTGTGAAAATAGAATATGCTGAAGTTAAAGGCACTGAAACACATTAGAATACATCTCCGTGTGTTACAACGCGCATTATGAAAAAGTAAAATAATATATTTTGACTGCTATGATTGTTCTTGCCCACAGCCATGACATTTATTGGCTTGCTTACCTGCCTTCTCAAAATCAGCCACAAGAAAGTGCTATAAAGAGACATTTCTTTTACAACAGAGCACACTGTTTTTCTATGGTAAGTTCTCAGCCCATGAAGAAAGGAACAAGTGCATTCTGGGACTCAGACTTCATTTTGGAACCAAGGGAAAGAGAATCTGATGCCATCCTGAGCGCATGTCTGGAGTAAACACCCAGTTTCTCCTTATGGGAGCATCACTGGTAGGGGCGAACTTGTTTTGCACTCTTTGTTATCACTCGGTTTACACGTTCATATATTGATTGTATGTTTTCATGTTCTTTTTTACCAGTTTCATCCACCCCGTTTTGTTAATAAAGCTTCAAGATTTCATCCGGTCTGGCTTATTGCAGAATAGGAGGGTTTAGCTGCATGTGGAGCTATACACAGGGTAGCGTGTAGCGGGGATAGCAACAGTGATCCAAAAAACGTGCACATCAACACGATGTGTTAAAACATTTAAATGTCAACGCACGTCAACTCAGGTGCATTTAACACGTCAGTGTGAGCTACATGCAATGAACATGGTGTGAGTCCAGCCTAACTGAAAATCTATTGATAAGCTGAAACTATCAATTTGTAACTTTCGTGAAGAGTTTTACATTGCAGTTTCTCCCCTTCGGTTGATTGTTATTTGCTTACTTTGCAGAGGTATGTGGCAGGTAGTAGGAACATGGTACTACATTTTTGCCCCCTTTTTCAAACTATAAATCCTTAAACTTGGACTTCAGGCACATATAAAAGACAGATTAATGCAGTTCTCTACTCATAATAAATAATTAAATGTATTTTTAATGCAAGCACTAAAAGTATTTTAATTAGACTTTGTATCCAGCTTTCGTGATCTCATGTACAACAGAGTTCAGACTGGGAGAAGGAGAAGCAGAACAAGGAGCCATTGATTTGTGCTCCAGTGTTCATGTGCTAACAAGGAGCAAGACAAAAAGGAGGAGGGTGACCGAGAGATGAGCTCATGAGTCTACTGCTTTTTCTTTTACCCCTTTCTCCAGTTATTGGCTGGGGTATGGTCCCCTCCCCTGCCAATCAGGGCTGTGTGACAAACAAATATTAGGACTGGATGGACAGGCATCAAAATCCTTTGGCAGGTAAAACAGCTCCTATGTATATACATTATTTAAGCTTTTTCCTTAGGTCCAGCTTTAAAGCAATATGTCCAACACCTTCAAGGAAGTGACATTTTCTATGATGTTTTAAAATGGTACAAACATGACTTAGAGTGACCCTGTTGGGATAACATAAAATACAGATAAAAAGCTTTATGCAGTAGAAGAGCTCTTATACTCTCCTCTCTGGCGGCCTGTTTTTTGTACCATACCTCCAACTTAGTGTTGCAGCCTCTTAGTCTTCAGCATTGGACACTTCCGGGAGTATCAGATGCCCATGTCTATCACAATGCACTATGGTACCAATCCCCTAAGTCATTGCTATGTCCTGCAGTTGTATATGGGTAAGAGGATCAAACTACAACATAAGGCACGGGCAAAGGCATGTGACATTCCAGAAATATGAAAAACCAGAAGATACTGACAGAAGGTGGAAAGGTAGAACATACAAGCAACCAAAGAGGTAAACATAAGTGCTCTTCTATTGCAGGGGGTCTTTCCTTTGTATTTCTGTTAACCTGACAGGATTACTTTAATACTTTGTAATTTGTTATATAAAATTAAAAATTGTATAGAGAGACAGAAGATACAATTGTTACTATATACATGCCATCCACTCTTTCCTTCTCCATGACATTTTCTATGCAATAATGTCCCCTCTTGGAATAAAAGGCACAAGTGAAGTTGTCTGGCTTACCTGCTCACCCACTCCCATACAGAAAGGCTTTCAACATTGGAAGGGGGATACTGTTCATTCATTATCAAGATATTCAAAAGTAAAGTGAATAACCCACATTTAAAGCTGGAAAACTCTAAGTATATATTAAACAAAGATGAAGACAGTAAAGGGAAACCTATATATGAGCTGCCATTTTCATTTAGCCCTTGCTTTTTCTAGAGTAGTTATTAGGCAAGCCAATTACCTTCCTGTTTGCAGCCCTATATGTCATGGGTGTTTTTATTCATGACAGAACAGGCCTTACTGGGGAAGATTACTGCTACAAATGCAATTTATTTCTTTGGTCACTGAAGACTTAAGCCGGGAGGGGCCTTATGTTGGCCTCTTACATTACATTCTGACCTTACAACCTCTATACTATTCTCTTGATACCTACCAACAACAATGTCAAGGGAGGGCATCTCTAAACAATCATTTAATTCATATCCAGGTTGACCTTTGCATTATAGTAGTTAATACATCTAAAAGGACAATGCACAATTAGATTGTATTGCATGTGGAAAGCTTTAGTTTAGCGTCAGAGCATTTATTAAATTAGAAGCAGAATGGTTTATACATATAATGAAAAGGCAGCAAGGACAACAAATGCATGGAAATAGCCATAGCTCATACCTACCCACTATGGTCACCATCCAAACTAGAATATAAGTTACTCCAGAGATCCAAACAGCGGACATAATAAATGTCAGAATGAACCATTTATGCCAAAATTTTCTTCTGCAGTCAGGTATAGTCAGGTAGAGCAATGTAATGATTGGCAATGACAGGACCCACAGAATTCTTTTCAAATCATCGTCAGGCATTGCAAACACACTTGGAGGATCTGTTATATAAGATAACAATAAATGCATGCAACAATAGAGGCTGAAAAACCACAGTGACATCTGACAGAATAGGAGCGGAAACCCTCTGGAGACAAAGCTTGTAACTATCAATTAAGGCTTCTGCTGTTCCATGGGCAGCCTTTATTCTTTCCGCAGGAACCCTTTAAGCAAGGAGGCTGGTTTTCCAGCAGTCAAAACTCTACATGTTCCTTTGTTATCATGGTTAGTGGCTGTAAAGGTCTATATCCATTTTAAAGATTTGTTCTCCTGTGGCTGACAGACCTGATATTTTGCATCAACAAAGTGGGTTAGACAACAGTTACCCCCTTTGAGTATAGTGATGTTTTATATAGATTTTTAATCTGCCGCTAGCTACATTTATCGTGATGGACAGTATCAGTAGTAGAACTGATCTCTGTACCTTAGGCTCAAAATATATATTTTTAGTAGAAGGAGGCAGAAGTGTGGAGTGGTTGATACCAACTATTGTGCACAGCTCCCACTCTTGTTAAACAGCAGTGTGTAAAAAGGCATACATTAAGTTCAGGACTGTAATAACGAAGACAAGCTGTTTACATTAACCTTTGTCAACCCATATTAATCATATGATGGCTTTGTTGAGACAAACAGTAATGTAAAAAAGGGCAGTAAACCAAAGAAATCAGATAGCAGTAATATTTGACTGAATATCCCAAAAGTCTATAGTGATCTATATTTTGTGGGTTTATTGAAGTGTAATGGAATTGAAGGTTCTTGTGAATGGTGAAACAGGTGAAAAGGAGGGAATGCCATTTATGCATTTATGAATACACTAATATCAATATGGAATGATGCTGCTCATTGTGTACAGTAGTGATCTTGCTTTGCCTCCATACATAAAATTGGTTTCCACAATTTTAGAATTTCCTGTTTTCATGAATGATGATAGAATAGCCAGCCCATTAGAGGGACACTTGGCAATGTACAGGAGAATAATACTTTTCAGAATACAGCTAACGCTTACCTTCATAAAGCTCATTAAGTCCATGTAAACTCATTGAGAGCTGAGAATAATCGGAATCCTCCTGAAAGATGCCACTATCTGACCGGGAATGATGGCGAACTACATGTACACTCTCTTCTTTCCATCCCAGTAAAGGCTGCTGATCGGTACTCTCTTCTGATGCTTCTGTAAAACATCTGCAGCAAGGACTGAACTTCCTCATCATGTACTGACTAATTCTTATGTCAAAGCACAGCACTGCTATGTAGAGTGCATATACCAAAAGCAACGAAGCAGATTCATACCTGCAACACAAAAAACAAAATATGCTTAACCGTCATCTTCAATTTTCACTTCTGAAAACCTCTAATTAGCTGAACATGATACGAGTTGCCATCTTTTCTAGAAAATACATAAAAGAGCATAGCTTGTTTGTTAGGGATGTGGTCTTAAAAGGGGATGCAGTTTCGATGTTATGTAGCGGAGTGGGCAGGGTTGAGGCCTGCAATTTGCCAATCTGCCTTTAGATGTCCCGATAGACAATAGGGACTGGGAGTCACTGTGCAAGTTCAGGATAGCTCTGCCCCGGGGAGCTCTATGGTACAGGGCTAAGCAAGATATATAGGTTTTGGGCGGGAGAGCCACCCAGTTCAGCAGGAGTGATACATAGGAAGCATAAGGCTGTCAATGGGAAGGTACAGGACCAGGCCTACCAACATGCAGTTGCTGTGGACATCTTTCAGCTTCCCCTGGGGGAGGGTAGAAGCCAAGGAGGACAGGAGCAGCACTAATTAGAAGGAACTACTTGCATGCCTTTAGGATGCAGGACTCTGGGCAATACCTTTCCTGTGGCTCTGGGCTACACATCAACTAATCCCCTCTCTACTGTCTCTGGTAACTATTCTGTGTGATTGATAAAAGAGATGTGCCGTCATCAGGAACTGGGATGTCTAAAGCCTGTATTGTATTGTATTGTATTGTATATAGGAAGACGTTTAAGCAAAAATTGATGCCGGACCACGCTGACAGCAGCTTTGTCCAGCATCTCACCTAGCTCACCGACATCGCCGGTTGCCAGCAGTTCGACAGGATGCAAGCCAGAACGTCACGCTCAGTTCCTGGCAACCAGATATAATGTATATATCTCCTGATACATTTACTATTTTTTTAATCATTGCAGCAAGGGACTGAGCAATTTCTCTTTATATTTTTGAATAACATTTTCATTATATATACACTGTGTTTCCCCGAAAGTAAGACCTAACTATCTTCAGGGATTTCTGTAATACAAGACCTACCCCGAAAATAAGACCTAGTTCGGTTGTAGGTCTTATATTACAGAAATCCTCGAAGATAGCGCTAGGTCTTATTTTCGTGGGTTGCTGCACATATAATTGAATTGTACACTCAGACCCCTTGCTGGCTGCTTGGATGCATACTGGCCGCAGGTCCCTCCCGCACACCTACACACACACCTGGCTGCCGCTGAAAACTACATTTCCCAGTGAGGTCAGCTGAGGTGAGGGAACTTCTGACTGGTCGCTCCCTGGACAGCATCAGAGCGGAGAGCTCCAGACAGCTGCAGCCAGGTACCATACTGTGACACTGTGTGACAGTATTCTTTCACTCCCCTTCTCCAGTACTGTATGAAAAAAAAATCAGACCTAGTGTGTGTTTTTTTTGGGGGGGGGGGGGGGGGTAATATAAGACAGGGTCTTATTTTCGGGGAAACACGGTAGTTAAATTATCATATTTTGCATCCGCACCTCTTTTCCTTCAATCACTAAGGTCAGTATTGGGTTTTTTTTCCCCTCAGTCACTGGCGTTTGTATTGTTTTTAGGTCAACTGCTGCTGCACATTGCCATACAGTTGTCAGGTTTCTTTTACATTTCTCTCCTGCCCCGAGTTCAGTGGAAAGCATCCTCATTTCCAGGACACGTGACTGCCCATGCTAGCTTGTGATTGTTGCATGGTGAGAACCAAATTACATAAAAAAACTTTATGATTGGAGAAAGTGATGGGGAATAAAGACAGGGCACTTGTTCTGCATTACAAGTCTTTTGGCTCTACTACTAGGTAAGAAGGATTTACCAGCCAGTATTGTTCTGGTAATTATCTTTTCACCTGCGTGGACTTTGTTACACAATTTACTAGCTTACTATGCTCACTCAGTGGTAGGCCAGGGATAAGGCAGATGAAAGCTGTATTGCACATAACAAAAGTGGTGTCTTGGAAATAAGTAATTCGAAAGCTGGTATAGAGGCCTTTATAATCCTCATCACTATGCATTTTAACAGCTTTGACCTCTGCTTTATTTATATATTTATTGGCTTGACACAACTGTTGTAGTTTAGCAAACTCAGTGTGGTACTTACTGGAAAAGCTGCTCTAAATCCCGAGCTGCCAATCCTACCAGTCAACAGGTACATTTTGGATGTACATGGTAATGTGGAGTTCAGCGGTTGCTTTAAGGATGACATATCCTTTAATAGGAAACTTCACTATTTTTCTGTAATGTATACTTTCTTTTCTTGTCCTTGTAGATTACAATCATCCAGGAGTAGTTGTTTTTTTTTTTTTAACTAGCCTATTATATGCGTGGGCTAGAGCAGAAGTGTGCATTTTAAGTGCAAGAGTTATATAGAGTTCCTGCCTTATTAGATATTTGATAACTATTCTTTTCAGTTTGGTTTGGAGAACAGTAACACCTTGAATGCCAACAAAAATAGGAGCATGTCTGTTGGAGATTTTAATTCAATAGCCGATAATTAGGTATGTTTGACTGACATCATTCAGTGTACATAGATATCATACTGATGAACATCTTACAACACAAAAACACCTCAAACACAAAAGCCTCCTATTAAATGTTTCTTACCAATAAATTCTGTTGTCAAATGTTATGGCAATTACTGCTCCTACACTCACTGCATATGCAACACAGTCTCGAAATAAGGGCCAGCAAGACAGCCTTAGTACCTGTGTGAAAAAAAGAAAACAGAAGAGCAACTGAGCCAATACAGTATCACATGTCCCAAGAACTACCAATATTCTTCATACTATATTGTTGCTTCATTTTGATGGCATTCATTTTGGGCACACCAAGGCAGCGCACCTGTGTTGTAGCACGGCACAACATACGATTATGCAAGTGCCCTAGAAACACACACGTGAATAGCTAACCCAGTGGTCTCCCGATGCAACCTCTTCCCCTTAAATTTTTAACAATTGCATTAAGTAGAAAAAAGGTTTTTTGGGGGGAGGTATACAGACCCTGCTTGGATACATTTTAGTAAAAATATTAAGTTTATTACATACTGAATAAATAGTATAAAATCATGAGTATAACCATTCTCAAATATCACATCCCCATAATTTAACTAACATTTGATACCACATCTGTGTGCGATTGGAGAGTGTTGTATCTAGTCCCAACTTGTTTCGCATATTGCTTCGTCAGGGGATCATGGATTAATCTAGCAATAAAAGTTGTACACAAAATGAATTCTAGGCAATACAACATATCCATAAATAACTTGTGTATGATATGAGAAAACATTACAGTCAAAGCAAGCAAAGAGGAAGCCCCACCACCAGTAATCACCCGGTACTTACTACCCTAATGTGGTAACTGAAGAGAGATGGAGATTCCTAGACCAAGCGGGGACGGGCATAATAACCACAGACCCAGCTTCTCCTTCCAAATGTTGCCTGGGGGACCCCGGGGGCCAAAAGTGGGGAGGCGTCCAGGACCAGAAAGTGGGGGAGGCCCACCTTTAATCTGTCAGAGCTATCTAGATGATATGCTTGAGCCACTTAATAACCAATATCCGTAGCTGTTTTCGAAACCTGTTTGGTGGACAAAAATTAAATCTAGTAGTCTGAGGAATAAGCTATAGCAGCCTATGTAGTTAATGTTATTAGTGCTACCTACCCTATTAAAAAGGTGAGGTGGTGATCCATGATCCCTGACGAAGCAATATGCGAAACGCGTTTGGACTGGATACAACACTCTCCAAATCGCACATAGATGTATCAAATGTTAGTTAAATTATGGGGATGGTTATACTCATGATTTTATACTATTTATTCAGTATGTAATACAGGGGGATTTTAGGTATGTTTGTTTGGGCAGCCTTTAATTTTGAATGACTGTAAGAATTATTAGAATGCATTGACAACAGCATAGCAATACAGATTTTTACTTGGAAAAAACCCACAAACTTTCAACATGGAACCTTATTTTATACACTGTACACGTGTTTTACTTTTTATACACACATGGAAGCAAAAAACATCCTACTAAATCTTTCATCAATATCTACTATGTTCATAAAATGAAATAGTCAATTTGTGTAATATCATTATGAACTTACAGGACTATTCAAAGAAGGGTGAAGAGTTTGGAGAAGGCAGGAGAAGTGGAAACAACTAGGAGAACATAGCTACACTGGAAAGTGAGCTGAATTGGAGAATTGTTCCAAATTTGCCATTTTGGCCTAGATTGTTAACTTCTCCTGCCTTCTCCAAGCTCTTCACCCTTTTGTGAATAGCCCTGCTAATGTTTGCTCAGCTAGGGAAGTGGAACACTTAAATTTAACTTGACAAATATAAAATGCTTATTACTACACATATTTAACTGATTGAATCGATGCATACTTTTGGAGATGTTCAGCAGAGGAAGGTCTACGCACCATACCCCATAGAGAGATACCGGTATTAATGGAGTATAGACTAGCTGTAGAAGCTTAGTCTCTTTTTTTGTAATTTGCACTGTTTGTATTTATTTTATGTGACCAATAATGTTTGTATTGTTTTAATTGAAGATCTTATCTGTGTACCTAGCTGTATGCTGGGTTTTTTGTTTCTCCTGATAAATTGATGCATACAATGATTACAAATTCTACAACACAATCATTTTTAATGAAAACTGCCAGTTTTGTTGGAATGGGAAATACTAACATCCATCTCTGTGCACAGGAAAAGCTTGGAGACAATCCGAAGAATTTAGAGGGGTTCTGTACACGAATGGTGTACAGGACACCCCCGGCTTGCCATGTTGCACAAAAGTGACCGGTTTAAAAAAAAAAAGCATAGCAGCTGCAGACTGAAATATAAAATATATGTATATATTTTATGAAGATTAAATTACAAAATGGATTTGGCAACAACTAGCTCTATATTTATTTTGTGCAAAGTACACTAGGTACCATACCGCAGCTGATAACAAGCAACAAGCAGCACATATCCCAAGGAGATTATATACAGCAGATCCAACAATAGTGCTGATTCCAATGTCCCCTTTGGTGACAAACACACCTGGAATACAAGATGGAAAGGACATTTAAAGACGGTAGAACAGCTGAAAGATTATAGAGAAGATTAGGTCAGCTAATGCATTGCTATGATCAGAATGTTTTTAGAAAAACCACAAAAGCTACTCACTCACTTATCTCTGGTCTTCACTATTGTCACTCTCTCCTTATTGGCCTACCTTTACACAGGCTACCCCTTCAGTCGATCTAGGGTCTATACCATCCTCTGGAACTCCCTACCCCAATCTGTCGGCCTTTAGGAGATGCCTGAAAACTCATATCTCATCTCATCTCATCTCAACGCCTCTACCTAACCACTGAACTATTTACTCTCAAATCATTCCCACACAGCTACCACCTTTTGCATCACATGCCCCCTCCCTCTTGGACTGTAAGCCCTCCCAACCATCTTGTTTTAAAAATTGTATTGCAACTGTAATGTTTTCCTTATATTGTAAAGTGCTGCAATATATAAAATAATAATTTTAGGACATGGATGAACTCTGTTAAAAAGATTAAACAAATTTAAACAATTTAATTATAAACAATAAACAGTTAGTGGCAGTGTGGATATTATGCACATAAAATGTTTACTAATAGTTACATAAATTGCCAACAAACAAACATAAATCATCATAAGGACTTAGAAATACGATTCACTGAAGAAACCAGAGTATGAACAGTGATGAAAAAAGTCCTCAGCACTCTGCTAGCCTGCAAATAAAACATAATGGGTTTCACCGGAAGGGCCACACACAGCTTACATTTTGGCCAAAAATTCAAGCAGTACATGGCCAGCTTAAAACGCACATCACTAAATACATTCACAACACGCTTTTCCAGAGGCTACGCCACGCCTCACTAAAAGTACAGCAACATGCAAGGATGAGATTCTCTTAAAGCATCTGTAAACCTACATGTAGATGTACCTTACAGGATATATATACAAGATTAAAAACACGAGGTGGAAGGTGCTTTGTCAATTTTTTCTCAACAAGGTTGGTGCAGTTAATTATAAAACTGCTCCAGCAGAAGTATCTTAAAACACAAAAGCACAGATGGCAGTATGATTTGTACAATCAATGATGGATTCCCTCAGGAAAAAAATAAACACCCATCCAGGGAGTATAAAGAGAATAGGATCTCAGATAATCAGTAGCCCATTCCCTTCCAAGAATAAACCTTGGTTAATTTACTGCTCAGGAGGGAAATCAGTAGGAAGAACATTCACGTGATTGTTAAAGAGTACTTTGACCTCAGGACCCACATCTGTCCTTGGTCATTAAGTCACGACCCAAGAACGCACCACTGGAAGGCACTGCATTGCAGTACCTCGCATTCCAGGGTGTGGGCGATTGGACTGTGGATGGGAGATGCGTTGGGGTGCCATTCAAATGAACCAGCACCAGAACGCAGTATGTGCGATTGCATGGTACAGTGTGTTAATCGCAAGGGACCTTGTGAGTAACGCACTGTACTAGTGTGAAGGGGCCCTCAAAAACACTGACAGATGCACACAGACACATTCTCACAGACACTCCAAAAAATGTTATTTTATTATTTTTTTTACGATCCACCCAGTCTCCCTACCTTACGAGAACTGGAGTGGATCCTCAGCCCATGGTCCAGTGTGGGCTGCTGTGCTGTGATGGAGCTCCATCCATATGTGGATTGCCTGTACAGCTCCCATGCGTGTCAGAGGTGTCGGGAGCCAGAATGTGACATCACTCTGGTCCAGGAACCCATCACACTCCTGACCACTTGTTCCATAAAAATAACTCTGGCCTACGGCCATGGAAGCGCTGGCCCAGCTCGACAACCCTGGTTCTGCCCATTATATGCTGGGAAAGAGCAACGCTTTGCGCCGGGAGATCTGGAGGGAGACTCCAATTGCAGCAGCTCTATTGTGGCAAGGTCCTCCCTACATCCAAGGAACGATACTGGCTGCAATGGGACTTGCGTGTGCCTTTCCTGGGAGAGCAGCCCCGGGAGGAATGGCGGTTGGAGCTGGATTGGCTGCTCCAAACTGAACTGATGCTTGATGATGGGTACCGGGCGCTGAAGTGGTATGTCACCCAATTGTGTCCATGGCTGGAGAACAATGATTCCACAGAGGGCTATGACTTCGGCGGCCCAGGAATTATATATTTGAGGCGCTCCAGGAGGATCCACAATTTTGGAGTGCACAGGAGTGGAGGTGGGAGGACATAAGTGATTTTAGGGAGTTGGAACTCCCCAGTGAGCTCGGATTGAGAACTGATCTGGACTTTTTAATTACACAAGAATGGGAGCTGGACCAGGCATACAAAAGACTGTTCAACACTGCTCAACAGCATGCCCCAGCAACCACAGATGTTTTGGAGCCGCTAACCCCAGCTGAAGAGCTAGCGTCAGGGCAGAGCACTGCTGACCTCTGCGCAGCACCAACAGCACCTCTGAAGCTCCAGGGAGCTGGGGTAGACGGCCCCTCTCCCGAACAGCAGGCTCATGCAGAGGAACTACTGATGCCAGCTGAAGAGCTGACAACAGGGTTCCAGGGAAAAGAGGTAGCCAACTTCTCTCCCCAACGGCAGATGAAGTTCCAGGGAGAAGAGGTAGTCAACCTCTCTCCCCAGTGGCAGATCAGCAGTCTGGGAGAGGAGGTAGTCATCCTCTCTCCCCAGCAACAAATTGGGATACAGGAACAGGAGGTGGTCATCCTTCCTCCCCAGCAGCAGTTTGGAATCCATGTAGAGGAGGAAGCCGTCCTCCCGCCCCAACAGCAAGCCAGAACTGAGGATTCCTCAACAAAAGTGCTGACACCAGGGCAGAGCACCACTGGTCTATGTCCCGCACTGTTGCCTGTTCCAACCATCATGGGAGAACAGGAAGCTGGCCTCTCTACCAGCACGTGGCTTTGGTGTCCAGAAGATTCTGGCTTTATCTCCCTCCAGAGGCACCATGTTTGTCAGGAAGGCACAGACAACATCTCTCCACAGCAGCAGAGGCAGGATGTCCTTTGGATGGAATATGTGGACTTATGCTGCCCGACAAATGCAGGTCCAGACCAGTTGGGGGACTGGGACCTGATAAGTCTTCTTTTGGGGGGGAAGAAATGTCACGGAACCCACCGTGACCTGGGCTCCTGGAGGGGGCTGGAGGCCGGCCTCCTTCCCAGTGACTATGGACCAAGGATTATGGAGACCCCCCTTGTTTGGTTGAACCGGGTGTTCGGGGCCCATGGACGGCTGTTGCGGTGGAGCCTGGCCCTACATGGACATCCCCAAGTGGACCCCGTAGAGGGTCTCACCGGGTCTGCCATCTTTTAACTTGGGGGAGCTATGTGATGACATGGTGATCAGTTTTAGGAGTTAAATGTGTATTGGTGTTGAGTTATGTTTGAGTGCGTTATACTGTGTAACCTGGTTATGAAAAGACTGTCAGCACCATCCCTCGTTATCTCCCATTGTACTCTGAAGGAGCCCAGGATAATGACATTCTGGCCAGGCTCCTGCTATGGCTGTCTGGAGCTCGTTAGCAGGGGAAACCCTGTGGTGTTATGAAGACAGATTGTCTGGGGAGGGCAGGGTGGATGTGATGGGATTATAATCTGATCTCATCACTTGCTGTATAAAAGGTTGCACAGTTGCTCAATAAATCAGAGTTTGTTTCACCCTACACTCGAGTCTCGACCAGTGACTGGGGAAACTGGGAGCTAAAGATCAGCGGGTTTGCAAATCTCCTGAGCAAGGAAGAATACAGCGGCGGACATACTCATCCCGCGTACCGGGGTCCGTCACACAGAGCCTACAGAGACAACTTGCTGAGCATGAACATACAGACTAGCATAGACTAGCATTGCACTATGGCGCCATCTACAGCTCAGAAGACAAATACAGTCAGTAATACAATCAGTATGCTGTTGCATTTCTAACAGGAGTATGTACCCTTTTCCCAGGATGAGTAGACAGTCGAGTCCCAAACACCATCACACAAGGAGGATAAAGTTAACCCTGTGTAAGTTGTAACAGGGCTTAGACAGCGTTATAAGGGAGTCAGGGAAAAGAACAGGGGATGCGAGTATCAGTGTGCAAGTTGTTCTATTGCTCTAGGCAAAGAGTATATAAGGCTGGATTTACACTTCTGCATTGTGGCAATCCCTGATCATGCAAGTAACATGTTGTTGCATTTTGATGACATTCATGTTGGACACGCCAACGCACCAAGACAACGCATGGCTACACTTGTAAGTGCATTGCGTGAACATAAAGGGCCATATGTGATGTTAGGCACATTAGGCTGTGTTGGCAGCCCATGTATTTTGAATAGGCTGCCTTTGTACAATGTAAGTTAATGCACCACAAATAAGTAAATGGAACCTTAAAAAAAAGGTACCCGTTAGGATTAAAATATTCACATGCTTATTTTAGGTCTGAGACTCACCAACAGCTAAGTGTAGGATAAGGCTGATATGCATTGAGCATACACTTACCAATATTTCTATCCTGGCAGGTTCCTTTTAATAGTAACATGCTTAAGATTATTACATAATATATTAAACCATTTTTGTTTAACAATTAAATAGAAATAACAGAAAGGCTGTCATGCATGACCCAATGAACAAATATGCAGATCAGGAAAGCCATAGTGAAGTCAGAACTCATGATCTCCATATTAGTTATAGGTCAGTGACTTGACGTACCAGAGCACATTACTCAGCAGGGCAGTCAGACAACCAGCATTGTCAGAAGAATAGCAGCGTTCATACATCCTTATTGCAGATTTCTTGTAACTGCAGTGGAGGACTGATCCCTATGGCTTTAAGCAAATTGGAAGGCTTTTGGTAGAATACTTTACAAGCCAATATGGAATTAAAATATTGGGTAATAAATACGATTTCAAAGTTTATTACGCTATCGCCCTGCTTTACAGTATCAAGTCTGCTTTGGTTGGAGTTACGTTTTGGCCAAATTGGGATAACACCTATTTTCAATTTCTTACATGTTTCTCATTCACACAACATAAGCTAACAAATATGTAAACATTGCTTCTTGCAGCTCAAATTGGTTTTACTTGGGTTAGGGTTTCTTGGCTTCTTAACCCCTTCACGACCTTCGAGAGTCTGTTCCGTTTTGTCGAGCCGGCGACCGGCTTTACAGTGGAAGCCATTCTGGTGGCTCAGCTCTCGCCAATTCGCATCTATGATCTGGTAAATAGGCTTCCCCCCGCCCTGTTTCCCAGGCTCCGTTGCCACTCCTGTGGGCCTGGGACCGGCTTGACGGGAAGCTGGGGAGGAGATGGGCAAACATCCGTGCGCCGATCCCCTCCCCGTACTGTGTGACCGGGAGCGACGCATATTGCATCACCTCCGGTCCCACCTCCTGAAGCCCAGCAATAAGCTAATGAAGTGCGATCTGCACTTCAATAGCTTATTTCAAGTGTAAAGGTGACACTGGGGGTCTTTTGGACCCCAGCATCATCTTAAAGAGTACCTGTCACTGCCAATAGGTCATCACATGGGGGGGCTTGTAAGCCCCCCTATGTGATCGCAATTAAAAGTAAAAAAAAAAAACCCACACAAAAAACAGTTTTAAAAATAAGATTAAATTAATTAAATGTAAAAATAATTGTAAAAAATTTAAGTCCCCAACCCGTCGAGCACACGCGTCGTCACGTAAACACGCATTGTGTGCGCCTACGTACGAAAATGACGATTGGGCTACACATGTTGGGTATCGCCGCGCACGCCAGAGTGAGAACAATATATCTAGGGCCAATATTAACACATAGCTCTAAACTGATGACCTGTAGCGGCTTTTAAAGAGTCGTCTATGGACTTTTTGGGGTACTGAATTTTTAACCTGGGCATGTTGGGTATCTATTTACTCATTGTAACCTCATCTTTTATACGTTACAAAAACAAAATGGTTTTATATAGTGTTTTGGGGCACTAAATTTAACTTAAATGCATTTTTCACAACATTTTTGGGTTTGATAATAAGTTGCGCTAATGTCATGCTACATAAAAATTTGCAACTGCCACCATTTTATTCTATAGGATCTTGGCTTTCAGAAAATATATGATGTTTGGGGCTTTGAAGTAATTTTCAGACCTAAACTGTGAATTATAACATGTAAACAAAAAATGAAAAAAGGCCTTTGTCCTTAAGGGGTTAAGGATTACATTTTTACTGCATGCAGTTCAAATACCCAAATCTATTTTTATATTAGCCTCCTGTAATCCCCTGCACAGTAGCAATCAGCGCCAGTCAGGGCTCTAGTGCATGGAGCAATGCTGTCAGTTCAACACTGTGGACCTCCTTACAAGAGGGAAGAGCATAAGAATGGCCTTAGTTTGTTGTTGCACCTTTATGATCCGGTCAGCAGCCATGGCCAGAAAAGGTGACTGAGAAAACAACACTATCATCCATGTTTTCCTATATTCACCCATCAGAAAATTATTATTACCATGATTTTGCAATTAGTTAGAGTAACAAAGTAGAATCACATATACATTAGACAAGTGAGTAAGGATCTGAAATGATACATTGTGCTTAGAGTTTTGTGGAGAACATTCATTTTATATTATTTTCATATTACCTAGAAATGCAGTGACCAATTCTGGTGCTGAACTTCCCGCAGCCATGAACGTAGCTCCAGCCACATCCTGGGAGAGGCCAAGGCCTTGCATGTAAAACAAAATCCAAGAGTCAGGGTTCAGAAGAATGGCTGCATGACTGTGCTGCCACAATAGTTGTATAAAATATGACAATTCATAGTCATGGATAATATTCACATTAATGTGAAATGAGAATTGATATACTGTAGTTGATTTTCTTTAAGCCATGTGATGGCAGCATTGTAGCTGGTTCATGTGTAGACATCTTGTTTTTCTGTGTTCCCTCCCAGCTATGATGTATTTCCCCTTGTGTGTTATGTACCGCCCTTCTTCTCCACTAGTCTAGTGTCATGGCTGACAGTAACATGACCACATGTTAATCTGCATTGCATACTTGAAAACATTACTATCTCTGACCTTCAAATAGTGTCTATTCATCCATCTGCAGTATCCTGTTGTTTGCTGTAACTAACCTGCTGCAAGCAATAAAGCAATCGTGGATGAAAATGTATTTGGGGAGTTCAGCTATCTGATAAGGATTCTCCACAGTGATTACATCTGCTTATACAAGCCAGGCATAGAGGTCTCAGCAAGGGATATATCGCTAATACAACAATCAGAGTCAGAATAATGACAATATTTAAATGCATTTTCTTTTAAAACATGACTTTATTTAGGTTTCAGTTCAAAAATGATACTTTTTGTACTATTTATAGTGTGTATTGTATTGTGATATGGTTGTTGTTTCTCAGTACACGGCAACAATACTAAACTAATGTCTTCTCTTCCGTGACAAAATGTAGCGAAAATGAAAGTCCACATGTGTGATTTACATTGCAATGCATTTCAATGCGTTCTTGTATCTAGCACTTACGTTCGCTGATGATTTCCAGGGAAGGGAGGAAATAATCATCACAGACAACGGACACAGCCAGAAACATGTATAGTATGACTAGGAAATGAATGACAATCCCTCCATCTTTTCTCTCCTGTTCTGTGAATAATCCTCTGGGAAACTCAGAGGATGGTTTAGCGATGCAGAGTGTATCATTTTCTGAAAAGAGATAAATATGGCTTAGACGAGACTTACTCCCAGATAAATCACATTCTCTTGCTTGGTTCTTACCCTTAAAGGCCAAGTATGGCTAGAACTGATATTTCAATAATGGACGGATACTGGTGTAATGAAACAACACATCGACTTCTTCCATCTCCTGGGGACTTCGGCTGTGAGAGTTCCACATCTGACATTCTAGCCATGTTCATTATGTCAGTCAATGTGCATTCAAGCAAAGAAGAATCTCTACTTCTACATTCTACATTCTACTCTACTCCTTCTACATTCTACCCAAACAAGGTCATAACTGTGGTGGGGGGGAAGCCAAAAAAAAAAAGAGTAAATTCAGGACCCATGCTGCTCTATGCGGAGACGGATATAAATGGAATTGTGTCCTTTATATCAAAATTACCTCGGATCTGGCACGATCAGATCTGGCAAAGTGGAACTCTGATCCGTTTGATTTTCCAGACCTTGCTGGAGTCGGGGGTAACCGGAGGTAAACGTACGCCCATCTGGTTAGACTAAAGCTGGCCATACACCTTACAATTATCTGCAGATTTTCTGTGGTCAGATGGAAAAAGTGCAACAGATTCCTCCTTCTACGCTAAACTGTGTGGATGGAGTAATCTCCACCTGGGCCAATCTGGTGCACTTTTTCCATCTGACCACAGAAAATCTGCAGATAATTGTAAGGTGTATGGGCACCTTAACTTTGGGATTCCAAATCTGGTCTGCCTATAAAACTGACAGGCACACCTGATCGGAAAGCCCATGTGAAAGGACTTTATACCCATATTAAGGGTGTAACATGAAACATGGACACATTGCACATACATTGCCCCAGCTATTTCTGAGGACTACAGAACCCCTAACCTCTATGTTATAGAGGAGAGGGGGGAGCTGTTTGTAGTCATGTCCTATGGTGACATTGCTTGACATAATACCTGTAAATATAAACCTGTTAATAAGGAAATATGGAACGCGTGAGCAATCTGGTGCACTTTTTCCATCTGACCACAGAACAAAATTTTGTATGGGGCCCCGTGATTGCTAGTTATGCCACTTGCGGAGCCCACCTGATATACCAAACAGCCCACCTGAGAGTGATCCTGCAGACTTTCTATAGTGGGCTCTGCAGGGTCTCAGATGGGCTGCACACCTCTAACCTGCCATCGCTGTCCGCCAGGCCCCGTCTCTTCTTCCGTACCCGGGCCCCGCCTCCTCTTCTATCGACTGGCCCCGCCTGCTCTTGGGTCGCTGGCCAGTGATGTAAGACTAGGCGGGGATGCTCTTAGGTGGGTCCCGCCTCCTCCTTCACTGCGAACGCTAGCCTCTTCTGCCGCAGCTGCTGGCTGTCACTGACACAGCTCCGCAGTGGCTGTGAGGGGAAATCAGTGATCTTCACAGCCGCTGGTGAGCAGCGTCAGTGACAGCTAGCACCCTTACATGCCATAGCAGCCCACACAGCATCAGAGGGATGCCCTGGATGGGCCCCCGTGCCCGGGCCCCATAGCGGCCGCCTGGGTCGCTATGGCAATTGTTACGCCACTGCGCGTGAGTGAGGCTTTGGATTCAACTCAATGACTCATGATTGGAGATGGTCAGACAAATTCAAATAGGGCATGAGGAGTTTGGTGAGGCAGTTCTCATACACAAAACAGGGCACCCCTTGACTAGGCTTTGTACACATGAAAGAAACATGGATTTCTACAAATTCTAGTTGCCTGCTTGCCATCCTAACCCTCTTGCTTCAACGCCTTGAGTCAGTGACCTGGAACAAGTACCCTAACTAATAACAAAAATGTATCTTCTTTCTGCATCACTCAGGTGTAGATCCTCAAATCATCTCTGAACTCATGTGGACGCTGTCCTTTGCTCAGTTTAAGGCCTCATTCACACTGCCGCACGTATGTGCGCGTACGTGCGTATTGTACCATATGGAAACTATGCAAATAAATGGCTCCATACACACAGCCGCGTATAGAGCCGTATATTTGCGTAGCGTATATATGCGCAAAAACAGAATGGAACAGAGATGCGTCCGGGCAGCGTATTTCTGCTTATTTAAGCGCATATACGCGTGTTTACGCGCATATACGCGTCTATACGCACGTACAGCACATTAGAAATTCCATTACGAGTGATGCTTTCTGGGATTGCATATAGTGCACGCATATACGGATATACGCTCGTATAGACGCGTATATACGCAATATACAATTTTGCTTGCGTTGTGTGTGAATGAGGCCTTAATCTGGTACATTGGCAAAAGCAAAGTGGATTTTAGAGCGTTGTGATGTCTGAATACATTTTAGGGTTTCTCTATTTTTAAAATACGCCGACACTGTCCTTCCTTCTGGAGGGTGGCTACTTTTGTTCCCCATGGTCCCTGTGTGTGTTGTAAAGTAGCCACCGCTCCAAGCTCACTCCTGTGATGGACTACAATGTCATGTTTAGTTTACTAATTTGTATTCAGATTGCAGATCTCAATACACACTAGATTGTAAAATGTATTCAGACATCACAACGCTCTAAAATCCACTTTGCTTTTGCCAATGTACCAGATTTAAACTGAGCAAAGCAAACTGGCGTTTGACCTCTGTGACATTATCATGATGACTATGAAGAATGGAAACCCATACTTTGATATCTTGATGTAAGACCCATGTCAGGAAACAAAAGCTCTGCTTAGTTCTTCTAAACTTCTACAAGTTTTGTCAATGTAAGCAGATACTGTACTGTATATATAGTGTCTTTCATTGTAATGATTTAGCAAAATTCAGCAGAGGCACGTGAAACGAGTGATTCACGCCAAACTTTATGGGTGCACACAATGCACAAGGCTAGCCCTACATCAAATGCTAACTCCTGCATTTTTATGGCAATACTTAATAAAAGGGTAATAGAGGAATTTGTAATATGATCTTGATAACAAGGTCTCCTGTTCCAGAGTGATGTACAAATTCCAGCTCTGGTAATTTTTCTTTTACAATCTATTTTATTGGAAGTGTCGGAAGGTAGGTAAATTAATTTAAAAAGTAATTGCGCATAAATAACAGACCTGTAAAATTATGCAGACTAATCATTTAAGATACATTATCAGCTAATGTATATTTTTATATAGGTGGGCAGATGTTCCAACTTTTACAGTGTACAATACAAAAAAAGAATATGTGCCCATTAGACTGATAAAAAAATATTTGAATATGTAGGATAAGGAGATAATTTAAAAACTAGTGCGGGGAAATTCTCATGCACTAGCAATTCTTGAGCATTTTGGTGGCCAGAGAAAAGTCCCCATAGAGGTGCACATAGCAATAAGGACTGTAGAATCATTTCACAGGGCCAACATTCACTCTGTCAATGCCATTCTACGTTGACTGACCCTCCTGGTTCATGGACTTTCTCCTTCAGCCAGTACAACAATGGCATGGGCATATCTTATACAATAGTTGCAAACAGTATATCTGGTTTCAGTATTACTGGTGTGTTTGCCTATCAAATGCTGTAGACAGCCTGAGGCTATTGTCTCAGGCAGCATCTCTTAGGGTCACGTGACTGCTCTGCTGCACAATGTTTGCAGTGTGCCTGCCGCCCCCTTTCTGGCCAGAGCGTCCCTGGTTGCCAAAAGCCGCTATTAGCAATCTGGGACACTCTGGCCACAGCGATGCCGTTAATCCTGCGCGTATGGGTGGCGGCATCACTGCACCAGCATCACTGCACCAGCATCAAACCACTCACCCTACCCCCATGTCATGATATACATGTCTTGTATGTATTACTATTATTATTAGTGCAACTTTAACTTTTACAACCAGCACTGCTCCCTAGTAGTGTATTTACTATGCTAACAGCTCTCCTGCTGCATATCCTTGGTACATACTTCATGTTAAAGGTCAATTACACATATTTTCACAGTTCTCATTGCCAGCTGCTAGAGAGTTAGCCTGGGGCCCCCAAAGTTCTGCTATGGGGCCCCACAATTTGTAGTTATGCCCCTAGGTGAAAAAAAGATAGCAGTTGCATGGACCGAGCAGTGACTGACAGCCTGGATTGGTCAGTACGGTGGGAGGGCACATGTGAAAGGTAAGTGGGCCTTGCTATGCATTATGGGGAGAACCCACCCACCACCGCAGAGTTTAGTTTTGCTTAAAGACTCACAACTCCCACAGATTTGGCGTGCATGTCTCATCAATTTGACCAATCAATCCTTAAAAAGAGAATTATAGCCAAACTTTTTTTTTTTTAGTAATCTTTTGGGTCATAGGAGGACATTTACTAATGTTCTCCTGTGACCTAAAGTTCAAATATAATATACCAAGCTACTGCCCACTATATGGTGATAGCACAGAGCCGCACTGCAGCTGAGAAGGATCAATATTGTTGGGATCCACCCCATTGCCCGATTGACAGCTGGCTCTGCCTCCCTAGAGTCAGATCCAGCGGTGCCGGCCCCCTCCCTTGCCTGTCCCTCCAATGAGCGCTGGAGGAACAGAGAAGGGAGGGTGGAATCCATGCAGGGAGTGGCGACTGTCAGTCACTGCTTTCTGCAGGGAGAAGCTGAGCAATCAGCGGTATGTGATCACTCAGTTCTCGATCTATAGAGCCGGCATGTGACAGCTGCAGTGTCACACACCAGTTCCAGCTATTGGGAAGAGTACATTTTATTCTCCCAATAGTTCTCCTTTATTTGAGGTCAAATATCGGTTAGCTATTAGTAATTATAGTGTTGGTTAGTATTAGTTAAACAATCCAGACCCTTTGTTTTTGTATTCTTTTACAGTTTTTGCAATTACTATCTTCGTAGGTAAATCATTTCACAGCTCAACCTGTTTAAATCAGCTTCAAGAAGCTTTGTAGGACCTTTAAAAGGACCCTCCAGCTCCAATATGAGGTGATTTGGGACCCATTTACGCTTTTTCTTCAAGGGTTAGCTTGTTGTGCTGCCATTCACTATGAATGTCACCCCAGTGCACTAACCCAAAAGACCTCTGTCATGTGTTGCAGCACACCACAATGCACTGTAACATACTGCCATGCATTGTGGGGTGCTGCATCGGAAAAAACGCGGCTTTTTTGGCCATTCTGGTGCGGTGGCTGCCCATTCATTTGAAAAGGCTGCCTTAAGACAACATACAGTAAAGCAATGCACCAGAACAGCAAAATGTGAATGGGCTATAACTTGCTTGTTAAAAAGCTTGGTGCAGCCTGCTAGGAGCTTGTTTAAAGTAAGCTGCATGGCCAGCTTACTAAAGCTGGCCATGCACTATGCGAATTTCACCCAGGTTCTTGATGATCCAGCCGTAATTGCACAGTGGGTTCCACTGTTGGCACCATTCAAGCTGGCATCCCTCGAACAGCAGATTAATGGAACCGGGTGGAAAATCTTCAGCTGAATGGAGCTTGTAGCCAATCAGCTGCAAGCTCCATTTGTGTACTTTGACAGCAGCCATCAGCCACTGTCAGAATACAATGAAAACAGCAGGGGATTCCTCCATTCATGCCTGTAAGCATAGATGGAGGAATCTTATATTTTCTTCCACAGCTAAAAGGAAAACCAGTGTATGGCCAGCTTAAGATCTGTTTAAAATCCCAATACTGCAGTTTTCTTTAAAGTTTAACTTAAGACAAATCCTTTCTTTCTTATGTTTTGTGAAAGGATTAGAACCCCTGTCATCTTTTTTGCAGTGTACCCGCTGGGGACGTTTTTTTTTTGTCCTGGTGATTACTGTAGCACAGAAAGAAAGTAATGGGAAATCCCAGATTGTAGAGCTGTAATCAGGGCAGGATGTAGGAGGAATCTTACAATATAGACGCCTGTTCTGGTGACAACTGTCAGATAGGGGAATTCTGCTCACTTTGTAAAAGAAGTATATACATTTGCAGTGAAATTTGAGAACCCCCCACTATGTGTTTATTATGTCCATTCACAAAGCATATCTAGAAATGTATCAATAATATATCTATATCTATATTTTTATTTGTAGTTGTTTCTGCAAGGACTATAAGCTTTTCTGAACAATTTCTGGAGGGGCACGCTGTGGACAGACTGAGTTTCTCTGATTAACATACGATGTGCTATCCAAGCCTGGAGATCTTTGTTAGGACAGACAGTGAGCACATCTAGATTGATGATGGATGATGGTGATGAGAGCTGCCAGCACGGAACAGACAGGGCAATTGTGGTAAACAATAACTGCCTAGCCCCCTCCTTAACATTACATAGAAGGGGAAAGCTATGTGGGATTTTTCAGCAAGTAAGAGAATGATCAGCAGTTAAGTATTTGTAAGTTATGGTATGTGATTGGTAACAAATATAAAAGTAGGTGGTAAACCAGTTTGGCTGCAAAAAGTGGAAATACACTTCAAAGGCTTTAGCTGCCTGAGGGTGGCAGCTCTGCAAATACTTAGTAAAAGCATGTTGTATAATTGTTCTTTTACATACATGTTCAAGACCTTACTGGCAGTGCAGTCCATATTTGTGTCAGGTCAGATTTCATTAAAGAACTCCAGGCAAGCTTTTTCTTAACCCTTGCAGTGCACACTCCAAGGGTAAAATGCTCGGTTTGTCTAGCTGCAAAAATAGCAAAAAGTTACACTCGGAGCCGGCTTACTCTTAGATTGGTCACTGGAGCCTCTCTCCCGCTCTGCTGCAGTGGTCTAAGGATCCTTGATTTATCACATTCTATGCACTGTGTATAGGACGTGAGGACACTGAGGGACATCGCAGCAGCGGGAGGAGGCGATAGGTTGGAGGAAGCACTGTGACAGATGGCCAGCTCCAAGGTTTTGGGTGAGTATAACTTTGCTTTAGTCCTTTACAGGGCTGAAAATAATGAAACAAGCCAGATAGTCAGCATTTTTAGAAGAAGTCAGCAATGTTTTTCTGATGACAGGTTCCCTGTAAATATGAGTGCACCTCATTCCCTTTCGAAACAAATACAGGAACATAGACCAATAGAAAATGAATAATTCAACAGATCACAGCAAACTTCATACTTTAGAAAACACATTTCAATAGTCACTGACCCCAACATCTGTTCTCCGCAACTTATCATCTAAATAGCACTTTCTGCACAAAGCATACTGCATAGCAAGGGAATCATATCCTGATGTATATAATACAATGAGTGCATTTACTAAGCCTGGAGCAGAAAGAATCTTGAGCAGTTGCCTATGGCAACTAATCAACTTTTAGCTTTCTTCTTCAAAGCTTAACGTAAGATGGAATCTGATTGGTTACTATGCACAGCTGCTCCAGGTTCTGTCTGCTCATATTTTAATAGATTCCCTCCAATGATTGTTATCAAGATACAAATCACTTTGGATTTTTGTGTTGCACAATGGGACAAAAACAAAATTATAATTTCATTAAAATATGGAAAAAACAAAACTAAGATGTGTCTAATGATGACAGCCCAATGTTGCAGAATTATTATTAGGGGGCTACCATATTCGCATGGTCTGGTACAATCTGTTATCTACACTGAATTCTGTTATTACAAGCAGGTTTCCATCATCAGGCACAAATGGGAAAACCTGTTCTCTGCTCCCGTCTGGCGTTTCACCTTCATCATGTCACAGCATGGATCCCTCAACGGTTTTGCTTGAGGTCGCTATTCACACATTGGGGAGGTTTTATATGGGAAGACATGACACTTCTGGATAACCATGTACACAAAATACAACCAGAACACACACTGACCTACTTCTCTCCGGACCCGATGCTTTGCAGTCACTCCATGGGACAAGGCCTGGTACAGCAGGTGCACAGATGCCCACAGCAGCAGGATGAAGGTGCATATTGCTAGAGCAGCCCTCCGTGGTCTTTTCCTTCTGCCCTCCTGTCCTCCATCCAGTACTGCTACCTCCATGGTCTAATCTCAGCACTTCCTGGTTGTGTCTGCCATGTACTAAGAGAGAGGCCAAGTTAATCCTCATCATGTGAGGCAGGGTGTCTTGTCCACATGCACCAATTAACCCTCCTCAGGGGACTACATCAAACCTCGTTGGAAGTGGATCATGAATGCGACCCTGAGGGGAGACCTTGAAAACAAAGTACTCAATAGTTAAACTCAGATGATGCTCAATCACGAGGTGTATGAGACTCTAAAGTCACAGAAATATTTCACCCGAGGCCTTAAAAAACCCCCAGAAACAAATCACATTTCTAAAACCAGGGTAAGAGTGATGTTTATTTAATGAAAAGCTCACATAAGAACTTCCGTAGAAATGACACGTGAATATTGCTAGATTATAAGGAACAAACAAGCTTTTCAAAATCCTGCGTTTGAATGTCAGGTTAGAGATTAGCATGTTCGAAAATCATCAAGTGAGGCAAATTTTACTGGACTGGTGTAAAGGAAAACAGTGCAATTTGGAGCTATTGCTCATAGCAACCAGTTTATTAGTCTTGATTTCCTAGTAAAATAAAAAATGGAAACTCCATGGGGCTGATCAATAAAAAGAGCAATGAAGCAATAGCGGAGTTGCCACCATCAAAATCAAATTTCTTGTTACTTTGAGGGCCCAGTGTACTTTGTCATTCTTGTGCATCGTGTTAGCACAGGGGTGGCAAACTCCGGCCCTCCAGCTGTTGTGGAACTACAAGTCCCTTGAGGCTTTGCAAGATTCTCACAGCCACGGACATGACTCCCAAAGAGAGATGCATCATGGGATTTGTAGTTTCACCACAGCTGGAGGGCCCGAGGTTTGCTACCCCTGGGTTAATATGTGTTGTATCACACATTAACATTAATTTCGTTAAAACAATTCCTTTCATTTTGAATTGGCTGTCAACGCACATGCAATGGATATGCAGCACTTTCTCCAATGCAGCATTGTGGTGCCCTGCAAGCATGTGCATCTGAGCTGCACTGCTAACACATATAATGCACGTTATTGCATCTCCAAAGGGTCTTTAATCCCCAAGGACAAAAAAGAATAAAAGATTATTGGCATATTTTCTGTTTTTTCTGCGCCGGCGGTGGGATCGGTGCCTTGTTTTGTAACAATGCAGGGCAATGCTTATCTTTTTTGGACTTTATTAAAATGTCAAAGTAATATTTCATTCACATATAGCTATTGTGGTGCGGTGACTGGCACTGAAGCGACGCAAGGTCTGGTGCATCACGTAAAATAAGCTGAATATTTGCGCACCGCTCCACACATCACACCTGCATTGTGGTGTAAACGTGAAACATAGACCTTCGATTTTTATGTGCCCTCCTGGGGACTAGTGTTGAGCCGGTGCAGAAAAACACTAGTCACCACTAGTGATGAGCCTAGTCTTGGCACTGACCCAGTTCGCTTGAGTTCACCCAAGCCCGCTCAAAACTATGATTGTCCCTCCTTCCCCCCTTCCCGACCCAATCAGTTGCAGACTGGCGCATTCCCATCCCCATAGCTATGTGTCACAAAGGGGTGTCGGTCACAGTTTTGAGTGGGCTTGGCGCACTCATGGCTCATCTCTAGTCACCCCACATAGTGTAAACGTACATGGCTGGCCTTAGGCCTTTAGGAGCCCTGTGCGAGAAAGCTTTACAGCGCCCCTCAGTGACCACACCCCTCAGTGGCCACACCCGTTAGTGGCCACACCCCCATAACCACACCCATTTCCCCCAATATCCCCATAATTTAAAGACTCCTATTTTGTTAAGCCGCAAAGAAACATAATAAAAAGTATGATAAAAATAAAACTTATTCAAAGGTATTAAACTTGTAGGCACAATAGCAGTATTCTTATCAAATAAAACAACAGAAGGCAAACAATAAATGTCAAACTACAATAGAGTCTATAAAAATAAAGTGTCAGGTTGTCATGCCGATCCCTTTTTTCAAGTAAGTGCATCTAGAAAAGTAAAAATAGAAAACAGAACACAAAACCCGGACTACATGAAAATGAATGAATTACTATATGTCCGAATATACAAAAAATATATTCAGGCACATAATAATTTGTTTGAGAATGTGCGGCGGCCATGTTGGCCACCGGCGTGTTCTGTGAATGCTTGCCACCATCTTGGAGCAGGGAGCATGACGTTACATGACGCCATGCATGCGTGGCGTCGGGTGACGTCACACGCCGATATTGGCCCCACCATCTTGGTGTATACCTAATATACACCAAGATGGCGGCGCCCAACATGTGCGGTATATGACGTCATGCTCCCTGCCTCCAGAACACGCCAATGGCTGAATCCAAAATAGCATAAACATTTGTTTTGTTTGATGAGACAAATGAAAACTTTTTTAGTTTTCTTTCATTTCATCTGAAATTAATTTTTAGTCTATGCACATGTCTAATAATATGTGTGTGTGTGTGTGTGGGGGGCTGTTTTCACTTTTTTAAAATCATTTTTAAAAATGTGTATTATTTTTTTCATAATTTTTGATTTTTTTTACTATTTATTTATTTTTTTACTGTTGGGGGGGCTTTGGGAAATATTAGGGGTCCAAACAGACCCCTGACATTTCCCTTTTAAAATACAAAAGAAATTAAGGACACCAAATCCTCCATTTCTTTTTCAGCAGCCTCAGCACTCAATGAATGCGAAGCACTCCGTATCTTGAATGAACAGGCTGTGATATAAATCACAGCCTGTTCATTCATAACTGGGGACACATAGTACTATGTGTCCCCAGTTATTTACAAACACTGGAGAGACCAGACGATCGCTCTAGTGTTTGTCCTTCTCACACGGAGGATCGTTAAGTATCATTGATATTTACCGATCCCCCGCTCTGCCACGCACAGAGCCGCTGTCATCCTGAAACTGACTGACAGGATGACAGCGGCCCTGATCTCCTACCTGCTCGGCCATCCTGACAGCGTGGCTTCTCTCCCCCTCACCGCTCCGTCATCCTGACAGCAGGCAGCGCTCCCTCCTGCGCCCCTCCCCTGAAGTGGGGGGGGGGGGGCGGACGAGGGAGCGCTGTCATATCGGATGGCCAGTGGTGAGGGGAGAGAAGCCGCCCCCAGGACGAGCTGTGTCGGCCGCACGGCGCCCTTGTTGCCATGGCGCCCTGTGCGGCCGCACAGCTCGCACACCCCTAAGGCCGGCCCTGTAAACATACCATTAGGCTAGGGCTACACCGGCTATGAAACCTCTTTGCTGCTGAAAGATTTACCCACTGGTTGCCAGTCAACTGATATGCAGCACAGTGAAAACAGTGTCCGGGTAATGAGATGATTGTCAAGAGATAGTTGGATTTTTCAGTTTTAAGGATATTACCTCGCCTCTAGAGGGCCAGACTAAAGCTGGCCATACACCTACAGATTATCTGCAGATTTTCTATGGTCGGATGGAAAAAGTGCAACAGATTCCTCCGTCTATGCTAAACTGTGTGGATGGAGGAATCTCCCACTGGGACAAGCTTCTGTATCTTGCTAGTCGGCCCCCGCTGGCTCTCAGAATACCTGAACAATGCCTACATCCAATCAGATTGTTTAGGTATTGTTTAGAACCAGCATTTTATAGGGAGATCATTACTGATTAGTGGGGGCTTGGTGTGAACCCAGTAACACACCCCATTTCAGTTCCAATCAGTTGTGGCAGGGGCATTCCCCGCCCTGAAGCTACACATCACAAGCTGCCACAGCTGATTGGGCCAGGAAGGGAGTGTGTTATTCACAGTTTGCGTGGGCAAGGGTGCACTGGGTTCACATCAAACCCCTGCTTATTACTAGAGATTAGCAATATCAGCCCTCCTATTGTCTCTTATGACAGGTTTCCTTTAAAAGGATCTGGATATTGGTAACTTTGCAAAAGTGTACTGTACCTACTAAACCTTTCTGATTGCCATGCAGCATATTCTCCACAGGACAGCCTCACAGCAGGGGACATTTACTGATTTCAGCAGCATGATATCAGTGCTTTTCCTGCTGCTTTGTTTTTTTCACAGTTGCAATTCATTTACAATATCTATTTATGTTTTTTCCCCTGAATCTTTTGTTTTTGCAAATATTTAAACGGCCCTTTCACATTTCTGTGGGCCATTGTAGTGTGTTAATGCACATTATGTGAAAGGATTACTTCACAGACCAAAAATTAGACATGAGCCACTTTTCATAACATGACCCAAGTCTAAAAAAAAAAAAAAATATTGCTGGCAGGTATGCTTTTACTGCAAAAGAGACTGCATGTCTGATCTGCTGTAAGAGTGTCTGCCTTATCTTCTGCATTTTAAATTGTTTCGCATGTGTTTTCAAGCTCGGGAGTCTTTGTTTTGCCCAGTAGAAAGCAGCAGCATTTGTGACTGTTAATATGCTCTGCAGATCTGTCTTCTAAGGGCTCATGCACACAGGCACCTGCACCTATACTACATGTCTATGAAGGTTCTCATTCATCCAAGTCATGGTAAATCTGTAAAATCCAGTTGCTTGATTTAATTTTTAGATAAATGTAGGTAGGTGCAGTATGGCCAATGGCCACTAGATGCCCCCACGGGGCCCTGGAGATAGATGCAGCTCTGGCCTGGGGAGACTCTGTCCCAGGAGAGTTGATTTATAGGGGGCGCCTAAGAGGGGAGTTCAGTGGAGTTCAGTACAGGAGAGCAGAAGTCTTAGACTGTATGCAGAGTCTCCGGAGGGAGACTGATTCTAGAACATAGGCTGGTCCATGGGAAGGACAGGACCAGGCCTAGGACCATGTAGAGCTACAAAGATTCCCTAGTTTCCCCTGCAGGGGGAAACCACCGAGCTAGGACTGACAAGGATGGGATTCCCGGAGAATAGTGAGAAGCTGTAAGACTCACGATATTTGCCAGTGGGCCTCTGGCCAAAGTAAGTCGTCCACTCTGGGCTGCACCTGGGCTATTCTTCTCTCTCTCTAATCTGTATCACTATGCAACTATCAAGAGATGTGCCGTCATCCCACTCGGGGGTGGCTGAAATGTATGCTTCATATCATGTTTATTCTTTCAAGTAAAACCAAGAAAAGACTATCTGTGTGGACTGGTTCTTCTCCCTCCAACCTCTGAGAACTCTGAGAAGGTGGGGTTCTACAGGAGTGTGATGTT